ATATTATATTATATTATATTCAACAGGATCAGTAGCAGGGCTCAGGGTTTTACTCTTATTTGTGTTTATTAATAACTAATTCTGGCCTTTAAAAGCTGATGGAAAAAAAAATTTGTTCTGATTAAATAAGTGCATGGATATTTTCTGTCAGTCAACATTCATGATTATTGTCATTAATGATGTTTTATCTCTTCTACTTCAAATAATCACAGATAAATCAGATGTTTTCACTGTATTTATTTTCCATGATGACACTAAATCACACACTGTTTTCCTGTTATATTATTTGTATTTACAAAACTACTTTCATCTGAACAATATCCCTAAAGTTAGAAACATTTTGTCTACCAATGATGCAGAAAACAGGTCAGTTTATCAYGCCTGGACTGGATCCATTAAAACTTTAATTTAAATTTTAAGAAGTATTCAGTTGATCCAAAATGCTGCTGATGGAGTTCTAAAGGAGATATCGTATTTCTCCACTTTTACAGTGGGGTGAAAGTTTGAGCAGCCTTGTTAATTTTCCTGATTTACCTTTTATAAATCATTGATTGTTTGGATAAAAAAAACTGTTAAATATGTCATATAGGGGACAAACACAGTGATATTTGAGAAGTGAAATGAAGTTTAAATGATTTACAGAAAGTGTGCAATAATTGGTTAAACAAAATTAGGCAGGTGCATAAATTTGGGCACAAAAAACAACCTTAAGTCAATATTTAGTAGATCCTCCTTTCGTATAAATAACAGCCTCTAAACCAGGGGTGTCAAACTCATTTTCACCGAGGGCCACATAAGTGTTATGGTGGCCCTCGAAGTGCCACTTGTAATGAACGTTGATGTTTCATGTTTAACTTTTGACTAAACAGAGTTTTAACACGTCCTCTTTTAAACACTGGTAAGAGCTAAGTGTATGACTGACTAAATCTGAAATAAATACAGAATAATTATTAAAAGTAAAACAAATAAAATTTTACTCACTGATGAGTTTCTAGTGAGTAGCTGCATTATGGCAGATTTAGTGTATGGTTGATGGTGACTTTAAAGCAGCTTATTTTCAGACATTGTGCTATCCAACTAAATTGCTCAGTTACTTCAAGCCAACAGCTCAGGGACNTTTAATTGTCATCCACTATGGCTTCTGCTGCAAACACTATCAGACTTTATAGACACATTTGACAATGTTTCACAATGTTTCCTTGAAGAGTTAGGAGATCAGACAGCACCATTTGTTTTATGCATCTGAAGGCCAACATTTGTCCAGCAGGTGGCATTAATTTAATTATATTAAATGTATTATGTTGATTCACTTTCTCCATTGTTAATGTTTCCTTCACCATCTATAACCAGTGCAGCCTGGTAGATGTTAGGTTTGGGTTTTACATTATAGTTTCCCTTTAGTCTAATATTAAATCCTAATCTTATTAAATCTAAAAGTTAAAATTAAATGTTGAAGTTTACATTAAGTATTTCAGAATGAAACACAGCCTTTGCTGTTGCTGCTTGGCTCTTGTTAGAACATCATCATTTTTGCGACAATAGCGACTGCTAATGCTGTCTAAAATGTGGCTAACAAGGCTAACRCAGCTAACATTGCTAATGCTTCCCTACAAGACATCAAACTTGAAGTTGCGACTGGTRTCTGAGATCCACTTCAATCTACCRGTCCACAGTTACCATCCATATTATTGTTGAAATAAAACTTTAAATGCCGTCTTTAAGAACATTAGCAGCAGCATTAGCAGTTGTTTTTTTGTCGCAGGATGATGACATCATTCTGGTTAGCTAATCCTAACTGCTGCCAACTTGGCTGCAGCAACCATCTTGACTTAGGTTGACCCTGAAAGTCCAATAATTACTTTCAGAGTGTGGTTAAGATCTGTCCATTGGTTGGAGAAATATTTTAATGACAGACAAAAACATGATCATCCACCTTCGCCTTCCAGCAGCAGGTGATACGAAGCGTTTGAAGTCCTACCTGAAGATATTGTGGAGAGGGTGGAGCGTAAACACAGCTGTTCATGATGTAGGTACGACAGCTGATCTCCTGACCTTTGGTCTTCACAGAGAGCTCCACGGGACTGTAGGCCCCTAACCTCACATTCTCCTGACTTCACACACAGACATCAGGTTTCAGATCATGCATCAATCAAATGAAAACAATATGAAGAGCAGATGTTTACTTGTCCAGTGACTCCAGATCAGATARGTTCATCTTCCACACCACCCCCCACACCTCATCTCCTGGGCTGTGCTCGATGGTGGCCACGCCGCCGTGCCACCGCTCGTTGGCCAGGCCTTTGTGGTTTCCAAACACCAGTTTGTAGTCCTGRACGAAGACAACAAAAGACTTTACCGTGTTTATCTAACCGACTGTAGAGCAGGATACGACGGTCCTCAGGTCAGACCTTCAGCCTCGCCACGCAGTGAACCGTTGCAGAAGGATTCTTCAGCCGGAGRCGTTCCTTCAGGAGGTTACTCCCGTATGCAAAGTACAGAAAGGTGTAGTTCTTCTCCATATTCTCATCAGGTTCTTACACAAATAAACAGATCTGAGAAGGCCTGGGATTTGTGGGATTTGGTAGATAGGAACAAAGCGCTGGATGGAGCGACTGGTTAACCACCATCATGTGTTTGGAGAAGCAGCTGGTGAAGATGAGCGACCCCATACACATACACATATCCCATTCTTATGCTAATCCCCTGYACTGATACACAGCTCTATTCACACACAGTCCACAGATTACCACGGGCTTCCAGCCACAGGCCAGAGCCAAACACACACTTTACATAMAAACACACACAACAGCCCTGAACATGACCCTGAACCTGAAACATCAGGTTTCACCAGGCTTTGACCCCCATGAGGAATACTGGTCCTGACAAGGTAGGCGGTTTTTAGCAGAAAACAAAAACCAGGTCCAAACACACCAGGCACATGGTCAGGGTGGAGTCTAGGTGTTTGTGTGCATGTTTTTGTTACCTGGTGGAGATCATTTTTCACCATTTTCCTGGTACACCCAGCCTGCTGAGGAGAACTGTTCTATATGGGGACAAAAGCCYGGTCCCCWTTGGGGGATATAATGTTGGTGGGTCAGGGGTTGGTTTAGGACTAACGTGTGCATTGAGTTTAGGGTCAGGTTTGTACTGTGAGGTTAGGTTTAGGGTCAGGGGTCAGGGTTAGGCTATAGAAATGACTGGTAAATTAATGTAAGTCAGTGCAAAGTCCCCATGAGGATAGAGGAACAAACGTGTGTGTGTGTACAAACGTCATTCAGTACGTATAATTCATTTGAATATTTTTCTATTATCCTAAATAAAAGAGCAAAAATAGTTCTACTAAACATCTAATAGGGCTAAATTTTCACAGACCTCACAGAATTGATTACAGTCATTGTAACTGATTTAATTATCTGACAAGTCAACTTTATTTATATAGCACGTTTAAAACAACCAAAGTGCTTCACATATTACAAMTAACAAAAAGACAAAACAGAACACAAAGTTAAGAACAATAAAAATTATAAACATAAATCAAAAACTATAAAAGTGGAATAATATAACAATAATTTTCACATGGACACATTTACTGATATGAAGACCTGTGAACTCACATCTGTTTATGATACATTAGACTCTCCCAGCATGTGAAAAAGCCCACTAATAACAAAGGTCACACTAGATCTGGTCATTTCTAAAAATCTCAGCATTTCTAATGTTATGGTCTTTGACTGTGGCTTATCAGACCACTTTTGTGTTTTCTTTGATATGACTGCAAACATTGATATTACTGTCAAAAACGATATACTGTATCAGTGAATTTAGTCATGTATTGCTTTCTCAGGAAACTTCATTTTCTATCAACTAATACCTTACTAGATCATTTTATTTCTAAAATCACAATCATATTTGATGACATCGTTCCAGTTAGAACAGCTCCACGGGTCTTACTCCAAATAAATAAACAAATAAATAAAAGAAAAAAAAAGAGTAGCCTATGTTGAGTAGCTGAGCGTAACTGGAGAAAAACAAAACCCCAAAATTCACTATGAACTGTATAAAACGTTTCAGCAATATTACAATTTAGAGATTAAAAAGCAAGACAGTCAACAACAAACTGTCTCTGCCTCTGTGCATATGCTTCATACGYGTTAGTACAACCAATCAAATGGGTCACGCTCAGACTATACAGCTGACGTCTTCTGCTGGTGTCCATGCTGTACATGAATGACCAGCTTTCTTACCTGGAGGTGGAGGGCAAATTATATACTGACATCAAACTCCATGAAGGACAGAAGAATAAACATTTTGCCTCTCACAGAATGATCTCAGAAAGTTGTTTGGTTCATGTCTGAACTGCAGAGAAGCTCTCAGCAGCTGGGTAGTACTTTACCACCATGTTCTTTGGATTCTTCTGGAAAACCTGCAGAAAAGATCATTTGGATTGGTAAYTTAATAAAGAGCTTCTTGTTATAAAAGATTCATGATGTCAAATTATTTATTTGTGAGGGGTGTAGCTTGGTGGTCATTGTTCCGGTCTCATATCCYGAGGCTGCAGGTTCTACCAGGTTGYGTCACGAAGGTCATCCGCTTTAAAACTGTTACCAGATCTTTCATTGCAGTACACTCACTGTGGTGACACCTGCAGAAGAGAACAGCTAAAAGAACATTTCTACTTTTCATCCCATAATGAACAGTGATCAATATTATTTTATATAAASGGAATATTGATTACTCCTAAAAAGTAAAGTTTAAAAGATTGCACGCCTTATTTGTGTCAAAATGTCAAGTTTTCCATTTATTTCTATCAAAAACATTTTATTGTCAGTCCATCCATTCATCCAACCATCAATGACCCACCTATCCATCTGCATTTTAAACTTTAAATATCAAAGTAAAAGATTTAGATTTTAAACTTTAATGTGTTAAATGCGTTAAACAGGTCAGAGTTTCCCTTTCCAATATGGCGGACCTGATGACGCATATTAGCAAATGGAGACATGATTTTAACTTATTGCGCATGCGCGAAACCCATGTTGCTAAAAACAGTAGCTAAATGTTGCGCAGCTGCTATCGGATTAAGGTAAAAGAAAATAAAACGCGTATAGCCGGACCACTGGACCTTTCTAACCCGTTCCCTGACCTGAAGACGGGGAACTGGTGGTGGCCGGGCGTCGTGCGTCTCTTGCTGATGTTTTTGTTTTTTTTTTTAGTTGTTCAAGGACGCATACAGTCTTGGGGGTAAGGGTCGGAGTCTGTCCCGTCTCTCCACATTCCTGCAACAGTTTGTCTGTCAGAAGTGTAGACCAGTATCTGAAGGACGTGGGTCATGCCCAAAGATTTATTTCACTCAGTTTTGTTGAATATAAACCAGGTGATTATATCGATACTTCGTTGTTAGATCGTTGGACCTAAAGTGTCCAACAGGTGGCGCCAAAGCCCCGCGGGTCAGGTGGAGCTGCAGAAGAATTAAAACAAAGAAAAGATAAGATAAACAGGATCTATTATATTATATTATATTATATTATATTAT